CAGTGAAACTAAGAGGCCATTGAAAGTTCGCATTGCTGAGCAGAAGAAACACACACAGCGAGGAGAAACCAGCGTAGCGATACGTAACATATGGAAATCTCTAATCAAGTGAAAACGACCAACTTCCACCAAACGGTCATCTCTCGCTAAAACCATTGAAGCGGTGAGAGGGAAGAAGGGATAGGTGAGAAAGAGAGAAACGGTTGCTGTTACCTCTTTAATATAGATAGCTCAGTAAAATGTGAAGAAGCCGCCTGTTTAAACAACCCACAGAAACAGGTGCCAGTTTGTGGTAAACAATCAAGTTGTGCGTGCTGTTTCAGTTATTTCATTAATTGGACAATGTTGTTGAAGGCTGTAAATTTTGGTAAGTACATGAGAATATAGTTTGAATTCTATTTTAGACATGGATATATTTAGCTTTTTTTATAAGTCTACTCAAACATCATTACTCTGCTTTTGCCCCGTTGATATTACCATCTGGGGCTTGTGCAGACCAACGTGGCGCGGAAACTGCATATCGGTGTGCTCTTGCCCCAGCTTCGTTTCTTGTTGGATTTATTTTGGTTTCACACTAATTTATTAATTTATTTGAATGACCATTGAAATTTGGCGAAGAATTTTGATAGGGACTTCATTTGGATTTTTTTGTTCATTAACTTCATTTAGATTTTTTGTGATTTATTAATGTTTTTATTATAGGGTTGCCATGGTCCGCGATTATGTTAGAAAAACCAACAACTATTGGGGAGAATAAAGGCGGACGTATTGATGCTTATAAAGTAGCAAGCAATATGGTATACCATTGAACACAATAATGGAGCAAATATTCAAAATCTTTTGTCAGAAGCATCGCGATTCCAATCCAAGATGAAAAACGACTTGCTGAGCGTCTTCTGAAGTTGGAGAAATATGAATTTGGCTTGTCCAGAAATAAAGTACTTCAACTTGTTGGGCAGTTCGTTAAGACTCCTTCCAAGGACGGAACCCCCGGTGTTGGTTTTTTGGGTTCGCCAAAAGAAATAATTCGTCGATAAAAAAAGCCACAAATCGTGGGGGTAGCCCGCAAAAGAAATTGTAATCCATTCATAATTGACACATATTTCACACTGTTGTAAAATACAATCAAGGAGTTAGAGTTAGAAAACGAACCTAGTAGAATCTGGAACCAGGACGAAATAATTTTCAATGGCAAAAATATTTGGGACCAATGGCAGTATAAGTAGATACTTAGTTTATTTTGTTTTAGAGTTTTCTTCTTTATACTTACTACATAACAGTTCATTTACGAGTACAAAAGAGCTTACTTAAATATTCCACAATACGTAGACGTTTCAATCAACTAAACCCTCGCTGAAAATTTCACCAAAAGATGTCTGTATTTTTCAAAGAAAACAACTCTGAAACCAAGCAAGATAACTGAATGCGGCGAAAAGCAGTTGAATATAGATTTGTTATGAATTACGCTCTTGTCCCGTAGAGGTTCAAATGAGGTTTCATTATGCTTTTAACTGACATGTACGCTCTTGTCTAGCGTTTATATATCGTAATCGAATCGCCAAAATTCCATCGAAATCGGTAGCATCATTCTCGCTACATCTAGAGCGCCAGCGAATATCGTACATTCGCGCGGTCTTATCTACGTCACGTTTGGTTTATGGTTACCAGTGGCGGTCGGAGTTATTTTCTTTAGGGCATGATTTTCAACAATACTATTGAGGTTTTGTACATGTATTTACAGAAGGAGGTTTTTATAAATATCAAATATATGTGTTTTCACCGAAAAAAGCCACATAGTATGCAAAAAAATGAGTTTTGACTTAACGATGGCTTTGGACACTTGAAAGCATGCTCTTCCACGTGAACTTCGTCAAACTCACGAAAATAATTTTCTACACCTTCATTCGGTAATCGTATGTTCAGAACCATCCGCTGAAAAAATATACATAGTCATTTCAAAAATACACTACAATTCACAGGAGGAAACTTTTTTTCATTAGTTTCACCTACTTTACATTGATGAACGGCTTCAGGGTGTCTGTATCCAATATCAGGTTACATCTTTTGTTATCATAATTTAGTGAGACATTTTAGAGATATTTCAAATAGTACCTAATGTATTCTTAAAAAAATATTGATAACATTTTCTTCAATGATAAAAACCCCTAAAAATAAATGATGAGCTTTCGTCAAGAATAACACAATTCAAAGAAATATAACATTTCATTTGAACACAATGAGTTTTCCTCAAGAATAAAAAAGTTTTCGCTTTGGCTTTTTTACGTTGTTTTTTTTTTCGAGTTCGAATTTCTTTTTCTCTTTCACTTTGGCTGTACTATGGATCTGGCTGCTGACTCTTGCTTTTTTCTTTTTTGCTGTTTGTGCCTTGGCGCAACGAACTCTTTATCGAAAACTTTTTGAATCTTTTTAAAATCGTTCATTTCAATAAAAAATGATTCATGGAAATTATCAATTCACGATGAAATTCTTACAAAAATTATAAAACATTTGTGGTGATGAGATAGAAAACCCAGAAACGAAAAGGTCACTTTACAAAAGCTCACTTCGATCAGCTGTATTGTAGCACAATCACAGACTCGATAACTGAAGCTACCGCCACACTACAACGAGAATAAACATCGCAGATTGAAAGAATGACGTCACAAATACCAAGACCAATGATATCAAGACCTTACATCCCACTGAAGGCGTGTACATAGTAGTAATACACTGCGAAACTCCGAACGAGTTTTTCTCGAAAACTTGTTTTAAATACTTGTTATATATACATTATATACCTTTTTCCGGCGAACACGACACATCAATTTTTCATCAGACATAAACTTCTCTATGTGTAATATATATGTATATACCCTGTACACATTTCTCTATGAATGTCATGCGCATGTATTGGGGAAGAGAGAGTTTTCACACTCGGACATGGAACGAGTGGCGTTTGATTTTGTATCGAGACAGTTGACTTTTATACAGGGTGGCCCATCGGAAATTTGACATGAAGGTTTTGGGTATTAATCTTGCAAACCTGAAAAACGCTCAGACAGGTCGATTTTTATTGGGAGGGGGACAGTTTTTTCCCCATTTACAGCATCGTCACTTCAAGCAGAGGGGTGAACAACCCTTGGAATTTCAATAGGGAAATGGGAGCGAGTCGTACATCGTTTGAAATAATTTGGAAATCTCTAAACAACGGTGTAATTTTTTTTTTAATTTGGACGAACCATATTGAATTTGGGGTTGAAGTTACTCACTTTATTCTCATGTTAGCATATGCTCAAAATGGGCACCTCCAGTTTCCAGCAGAATCTCTATTATTGCATAGAGATTCTGCTGGAAACGTTCTCGAACATTGTGGAGCATTTCTGTATTGACTTGGCCACATTCATTTGTGATTCGTTGCCGTAAATCTTCGAAAGATGCAGGAGAAATACAGTAAATTCTGATTTTCAAATGACCCCACAGAAAGAAATTTAACGGCGAAAGTTCTGGTGATCGTGGTGGCTATTCGATAGTGCCCCGCCTCCCAATCCAGTGATCCGGAAAAGTATGATCTAAATACTGCCAACTGCCAAACAGGCAGAGCATAACGCGGAGAAACCCCATCATGTTGAAATATTAACAGATCCTCCCGATAATTGCGGTCATTTTCAATAATATCAGTGAGAAGGGGATTAATAGTATCTTCCAGAAGCTCCGGATATATGTGTCCGGTTAAATTGCCTTCTAAAAACAATGGGCCAACAATACGGTCACCAAAAATTCCAGCCCATACATTTAATTTTCGTGGACGGTGAGTATGCACTTCATGAAAAATGTGAGGATTTGAATCAGCCCAATAGCGACAATTATGGCGAATAACTGTGCCATTTAGAAAAAAAGAACATTCCTCACCGAAGCAAATTTCGAAAACAAAATGTGGATTTTCCACCGCTCGTTCACTAACCAACTCGAAAAATTGCATGCGTCGATCGAAATCATCTTCATTCAGTTCTTGCGTTGATATAATCTTGTAAGAATGCATTTTGTGGGTTTTTAAAATACGCCGAATGCTAGTTCAATCAACTCAATGGTGTAAACCATTGTTTTTTCAGCACTTTACGGAACTCACTACCAGTAATAATAGATATCACTTTCAACATAAAAATGAGAAATAGAAACAGCTTTAACCATTTCTCAATTGTAATAGTCCTCTCATCAGAGAAGAATTAAAAATCAACAAGAAAGTAGCGTAAAAAACAAATGAAAGAGTTCCAAATACATGCCAACTGAGCAGTGGCGTGCAACAATTTGTTACTATTAACAATATCGAAAAAGTTAATTATTGGAAAGAACTCTTTTGAATACGTCCAAATTTGAAAAACTGTACACCATTGTTTAGAAAATTCAAAGATGTTCCAAACGATGTGCGATTCGCCCTCTTTCCCTATTGAAATTCCAAGGGTTGTTCACCCCTCTGCTCCGGGATTGGAGTAACGACGCTGTTGATGGGAAAAAATGGTTCCTCTCCCAATAAAAATCGATCTGTTTGAGTGTTTTTTCGGGTTTGCAAGATTAGTACACAAAATCTCCATGTCAAGTTTTCAATGTCCCACCCTGTATATGTTCAATATTTAATAAACGGATTATTCGTGTTACTTTCTTTATTGTTATACAGAACCCACGATAGAAATTTCCCCACATCTAACTATGATACCATCATCGTACTTTATGATTATTGAAGGTGATTTGAAATAAAAAATATATTGTGAAAATAATGCGGCAATTTTAAAATCTATGTTCCCAAAATAAATAAACTCCTGATATCTTTCAACTTGTTGCGTATTTGATTCATTTCCTTGAAAGTATTCATCCTCTCGTCGGTTGAATAGTTCAGGTCTCTTTCGCAACTTCCACCCCATTTCTACTAGACGATCGTTCGTTACCCTAACATCGTCACACTAATTACCTCGACGCCAACTTCAATCTCAATTTGTCTGTTTCAGGATGTTTTCCAGCTGCAAACACCTGGAGGAGGAGGATTCGGTGTCGAGGAAATGACTGGAATCGGAGAGGAAACTGCGTCTCGAGGGAGAGACGAAAATTACGTCACAAGGCGAGGGACTTTCGTGGAACGCGGCAGCGTTTTTGAGTACAGACAGGCGCAAGAGAGCGTCTAAAGTTAGTTTGATATGTTGACTTTTGTTTTCTCTAAATCGTTGATGTTGTTATAATGCAGATTAGAGGGGTGCTAATTAGTACAAATATTGTAGTAGTTGGTGTTTTTGGGGTATTATATGCATGGCTATAATTATTTGTTGGAGTTGTTCTACTGAATGGAAATATTACCAGGTTGTACAGAGTGAGCCGAATTGGACACATTTGAAGGGAAACTCCTGTTTCCAGACTATATACATGGAAAATGATGGCTGTGTCTGAGGGTCAAATTTTATGAAAATTTCTTGTTTATATGCAAACATTTGCGGAGCACTTTTCTACGTAACATAAACTGGTGTGAAACACTTATTTCTCCAAATGAGATATCAATAGCTATTGATGGGAAACTATTTTTTTAATAAGAAATACTGTATATTCAGGCATATTTCAATAGAACTCAAAAGTACCTTTCCAAAAGTGTAGAAAACTTGATGTTTTGCTCGAGCCATTTTTGAAATACAGAGCTTTTAAGTTTTTTTCATGTAGACTTTGAAACACACACTTTGATCATGTTGGCTTTAGACGATGTGTCGATAAAGCAGAATGCAAATCTTTACTGGTAGCTGTCAAATTTTTTTTGGGCAGTAAAAACGCTCTTCAAAAATGTGTTTGGAAATTCAACGCTGTTGAATTTCCAAACACATCCGCAATGAAGTATGAGAATTATGTTTTATACAATCCGGGGAAATGCAGATGCAGCAAGCAATTTGTATCATGAGAGGTATCCAGAGAGAAGATGACCTTTTAGAGGCATTTTCGCAAGATTTCGACACAATTCAATTGATGGTTGTCAATTTGAAAAGGAAAGGCCAAAATTATATGAATCGAATAGGGATGAGGAGTTGGAAGAAATAGTCGTTTTAGGAGCTGTTGAAAATAATCCCAAAACGTCAACGCGAAATTTGAGAATATCAACAGGTCGACCAAGAACTACGTTAGGTTAGGTTAGGTAAGGTCCAAAGTGAGTGGGTCTATTCGACCCTCCACCGCAACCCGCAAGGGTTTCTGTGGCTCACACCTACTCAGACTCGACCAAATAAACACAGCTTCTTAACGAAGCCGATTAGTTTGTATGGTGATTGGTCTCTCAGGTCAGATGGTAAGAGTACGGCTCTGCCGAACTCTAAAAATCTGATTCGTTCCCCAGCGAGGCAAGCACAAAGTATATGCTCAGCCGTTTCATCATTAATGAGGTAGTCAGATAGTCAAGGTGCAAGATTCCCACCTTGATACCCACGACAACCTTTTCATATGAGAGATTTTGCACGTCAGCTACACTTGACGATGCCTTAGATTCAACCGAGCAGGGATTTTTCGCCTCTGGTTTTGGTGAGTCATTAGTTGAGTGCAAACCTTTGCTAATCTGCCCATGGTGGTTTTGTTCTTCCACTTGAGACAGATACTGCATGCGCCGCTCAAGAATTTGGTGCAAGGCGGTTTCATAAGGTAGCCCGCTATTGAGGAGATGACTCAGTCGTTTCCTGTCTGCACCACCAAACCTGTTTTTAAAGTTCAGTTATTGGATCAGGAGTTGGAGAGTTGAGGAGCCCTCGCTCCTAATCCAAATTTACAGGGAGGTCAGTTGGAGTGGTAAGCTCGACATCCATCTCCTCTGTAGACTCAGCGTCAGAAAGACTTTTTAAGTTTATTCTGTCCATAAAAGTCCCACGAGTAGCTACGGAAAGAAGGTCAATCACTGCAGAGCCCCGCCTTACCGTGACAAGGCGATGCTACGAGAGGGCGCCTGGTATCTCGAACGGTATACCAAGACCTTACAAATTCAAACCATACACGACCAGAAGTGTTTATCAACTCGGGCCAAGAGATTTTGAACGTCGCATGGCTTTATGCTGGAGGTAATTGGGAAGCTATTCCTAAGTGCGTGATTTTTTGTTGAATTGTATCTGGACAGACAAAGCTTATGCGAGCAGTGGCGATATTTTCAACCGCTACAATTCTTAAACTTGGGCACAACAAAATCTTTTTTTCATTGTGGAGCAGAGAAGTTAAAAAAGATTTGGATTTAGTGTGTGTGCAGGTGTTTTCAGGAGTAGAGTTTTCGTCCCGTTCATTTATAATTGCACTCTCACATATCAGAGGTATTTATAATTTCAAGGCGAAATATTGAACCCCTTGTCGATGAATTGCCACTAATGGAGCTCAGAAAAATATATTCTCAACAAGATAGGGCTTCGTCTCACAATACTGTAATTGGCACCAATTTTTTGACAGCAAATTTTGGTAATATTTGGATGGCCAACCAAGGACCTAACGGTTGGACGGCCAGGTCACCGGACATAACGTCTATGGACTTTTACCTCTGGGAAAAGTTGAAAGATTTAATTTTGGAATTGCCGACCAATTCTAACTACGAATTGGAAGCAGCGGTGATGCAAAGTTTTGGTTATCTCACTCCCATTGAACTAATTATTTCGGCAAAAAACGTTCGAAAGAGGTGTCGGCTGTGTGTAGGAGAAGATGGTTGACATTTCGAAAACCTTCTTCGAAGAAATGTTCCATTGTTTGTTCTTCATCATTATTATTATTATTGTTGAAGTTTCATTTATTAGTAGTGAATATAGTATGAATTGTTATTAGTCTTATTGGAACTATGCGTTCAAATTACTGCTGTGAATAGTTTTCTCAACATTTGATAGCTACTACTAAACAATTTCTTTCTGTTTTATCGCCGCGTCGTCCAAAGCTTACTTGATCAACGTGTGCGTTTCACAATCTACATGAAAACACCTGAAAGCTCTGTATTTCAAAGATGACTCTAGCGAAACATCAAGTATATTCCATTTTTTGAAAGGTAATTTTGAGCTCTATTGAAATATGCAGGAATATACAGGGCGTCTCATTGAAGAAACTAATTTTACATCAATAATTATTATTGATATCTCATTCGAAAAAATAAGTTTTCCACGTCATTGAATTTTACGTAAAGAAAGCTTTGGGAATGTTTTCGTAGAAACAAGAAAAAAGTTACCGCAACTTTTTGAAAATGTACATTTTCGAAAAGCATGCTATAACTCAGAAACGATGATAGATATCGATATGAGGTTTCCACCATTAGGTTTGTCATAAAATTGGATCCTCAGACACAGCCGACAGTTTTCATCTATTTAGTTCGAAATCAGTTTCCCTTCAGAATAATCCAAATTGGCACACACTGTACAGTGAAAATCAACCTTCTTAAATTATGCAATCGTTGTCATCCCAATGCATGTAATTTCTATTTTCAATACTAGGATTCTGTTGAGTTTTCAAATGAATATGTGAAGTGTTCTATTTAAAATCGGAAACTACTCGAAATCAAAAAACGTTCGAAAGAGGTGTCGGCTGTGTGTAGGAGAAGATGGTTGACATTTCGAAAACCTTCTTCGAAGAAATGTTCCATTGTTTGTTCTTTATCATTATTATTATTATTGTTGAAGTTTCATTGATTAGTAGTGAATATAGTATAAATTGTTATTAGTCTTATTGGAACTATGCGTTCAAATTTCTGCTGTGAATAGTTTTCTCAACATTTGATAACTACTATTAAACAATTTCTTTCTGTTTTATTGCCGCGTCGTTCAAAGCTTACTTGATCAACGTGTGCGTTTCACAATCTACATGAAAACACCTGAAAGCTCTGTATTTTAAAGGTATTCCATTTTTTGAAAGGTAATTTTAAGCTCTATTGAAATATGCAGGAATATACAGGGCGTCTCATTGAAAAAACTAATTTTACATCAATAATCATTATTGATATCTCATTCGAAAAAATAAGTTTTTCACATCATTGAATTTTACGTAAAGAAAGCTTTGGGAATGTTTTCGTAGAAACAAGAAATTTTTGGCAGGAAAAAAGTTACAGCAACTTTTTGAAAATGTACATTTTCGAAAAACATGCTGTAACTCAGAAACGATGATAGATATCGATATGAGGTTTCCACCATTAGGTTTGTCATAAGATTGGACCCTCAGACAGAGCCGACAGATTTCATCTATTTAGTTCTAAATCAGTTTCCCTTCAGAATAATCCAATTTGGCACACTCTGTACAGTGAAAACGAACCTTCTAAAATTATGCAATCGTTGTCATCGCAATGCATGTAATTTCTATTTTCAATACCAGGATTCTGTTGAGTTTTCAAATGAATATGTGAAGTGTTCTATTTAAAATCGGAAACTACTCGAAAAATAAGCATTTATTACATTATTTTCATCGTATTTTCTTAATTAAGCTAAGGATACTCGTTAAATAACAATAAAAACACTTTCATTTTCAACTAACGTTTCTGCAGTTTCGTCCTATATAAGGACATTTTCAAACTGATACAATGAACTTTGGTAAAAGTCCTTATAGAACGGAACTGCAGTAACTTCAGTTACAACTGAAGGTGTATAAAATAACAGAAAGTTCAATTTCTCATATTTCATGAATCGACTTTTATTTCTCTATAAGTTTTTATGGATTTAAAACAGTTTTTGCTGAAAATATTTCAATTAAATGTATATCAGTTCCACCACGCAATTATTCAGGCTGCAATGATATACCTTTCTCTCAATCCTTTACTTCAATAATCCAGTTCCCAAATTCCATTTTGATTGATGCGGCATGAAATGATGACTGTAATTAGGGAAATGAGCCATATTTTTCAGGTCGGTTTTTCGGTTTTGTAAACGAAAAATTTCAATTTCATGCGGCGTTAGGGGTTTCATTTAAATCTGGGCGGAATTTGAATGAACATTATTTATGAATTCATAAATTCACACATGAGCCTTCTGTTCGATAAGTTCTTATGAATTCGTCATATACATTTCCACAGATTCAAATCTGGATATTTCATCATCATTCCAAATGCTTTACAGAGACGTTCGTTATGATCTGCCACAGATTCTATTGGTGGAAATCAGTTGAATGTAATGTATTGACTTCAGTAGTATTCAAAAAATCTGTAGCGAAATCTGTCTTGGGCTAAATTCCCGTTACTTTTTTCTAACTCAAGTGATGATTGCTCAAAAGGAGAGGAAATACTGGAAAGTTGGTCTACACTTCCGGGAGTTGGTTGAGTCGAAGGTCTAATATCCAGAGATCATTTGAAAGTCA